TTGCTACATCGACCATAGGCTCTGCTCGACCAAGTGGGATGGAGCCCGGTCGGTATCAATAGTCTTCCATAATAGTATCAGCCAGACCCACAAAATCTCTATCCTCTCTTTCTCTAGGTCTCTGCGTGGGTGGATAGTATCTGTCTCCTTGAACACTTCCTCTACTATTCCCATCATTCCCTCTAAAACTTCCTCTTCCTCTATAGCTACCACTATAACCTCCTCGTACTCTTCTCTCTCTTTGTCTATCACCTTCATACTGCTCTCTCTGTGGACACTCACTCTTCCAATGTCCCTCCTTTCTACAATACGCACATTGATTCCTTTTAGGTGCTCTGTGGACTTTTATTACTAAGGGACTTCCTTTTTTTATGTGTAGTTTTTATTCCTTCTATAATAAAGTGTATTGTTACCCCTTGAACCTGTGTTTCCTGGTGGTGCATGGAACATAACTACAAGAAAGGACCCAGTGAAAGCCCAGTGAGAGTTTGTGATTCAAGGCATGCAAGTTTGAGCCAGCTTTCTAAGTTGCTCTTTTTATGTGAGTGTGACCAGTAATAGAGTCTTTAATTGTTTATCATTACGTTATTACCCTATGTGTTTCTTTTATCTGTGTTTACTTTCAGATGGTAATCCAGTTTGGGTAATTGTATTGTAATTATCTTATTTGAGTGCTCTCACCATCTGTATTTTTATCTTCACATTGATTCCTACTTAAAGGTCCCTTGCTCAGCCTATTCTCGTCTCCTCTATTCACTTCCCTGTCTTTCTACACTTAAGATAGCTACCGCTAGCATATCTGCCTTTTTCCTCATCTTACGTTCTTCCTCCCGCTTTACCTCCGTCTCCCTATTCATATATACTGTATTTGCAATCTCCATTAGCTGTAATATGGACATCCCTACAAATCCCTCTAATTTCTGTAATTTCCTTTTAATATCACCTTGGGCCTGGCTGACAAATGCTGAGTCTATCATTCGGAAGTTTTCAGGGGCTTCAGGATTGAAAGGAGTGTACAATCTATTTGACTCAAGCAGTCTCTAATATGGGAATCGGCAAGGCTGCTCAATAATAGGTTCCAGTCTAGGGGTAGTAAGATAGGTGTAAGGGGGCGAGCTAATTTTATTAGTCAGCAATTGGTGGATGAAATTTTTTTTTTTTTTAAAGTGTTGAAACCAAAAACCTACCAGTAGGTGCCACCAGAGGGTAATTGTATCAAAATAATCTTTATGGGTCTAATAATAAAACTTAACTTTTAATATATTTATACATAAAATAAAACCTTATAGCAATAAATATATTAAAATAGGGTAAGCAATCCTACTTCTATCTGTTATAAACAATGTATTATCAATGTAACTCCCGAAGATGGCCAGTAGGTGGCCCTAGAGTACCTCCCTAAAGTCTAATGAAGCAGATAGACTTTAATTAATTATGTCCCTATTTTATTATTACTTATTTTAATCACTGTCCACCCTGATATCTAGGCTTAATTAAATCTTTAGTTCTAAGGTAAATTAAACATTTCAGTTTGTAGTTTAGTAAAAGGGGACATTTTGGACAAAGCTGGGAGGGGCCCATCCAGTAACTAAAAAAAGACAATATACCATCTTGATTAGGGGGAGGGGGGGTAGTACAGAAATACAAGAGTTTGAAACAAAAGAACAGATAGGTATGTGGGTAGGCGGGGACAGTAGAGCAGGGGGAGTGCAAATACTGACTATACCAGTTTTTAGTTCTGGAGGATGAATAGGGGTGTTGGTAATCAGATGCCAGGGGGGAGGGGATGTCCAAAGCAGTTGTAATCAAGGCCTTAGTTCTGACCACCATATGGCTACATTGTTTCTCATATGACACAGTTTAAATCACCAAGGCAGTTTTTCAACAATCAGTTTCCAACAGTCAATATATAGAAACTGATCATAGAATTCCGGCCTACTAGTTACAGCCACATGTACACCCTGCACTAAATTTAAGTGAAGACTGCTACATGGAGGCCATGCGGCCACCAGAACAGGCTACTCCCTACTTTTTTTTTTTTTTTTTAAAACATACAAGACAAAGGACCAACAGCTTTGTGAATCAGAAGATCATTGCAACAGAACGTCTGATTCAAAAAGCTGTACAAATAAACACACAGTTTCAACAGTCACACCAATCTCCTTACTAGGCCCAAACACACACATGCACGCACACACAGGATCCTCACATGCTCAACAATATCACGACGTCGCACACACGAAATTAAATCAAAAACCCACCAAAGACTATACACTTATCAATGTAACTATTATTCAAACCATACAACTATCCACGCTATTAATCCATATAAACTAACCGATCACATAACATTTCAACAATTTCATCTCTACAATTATCCGTACTATAAATCAACTTTTGACTAACCAACTATATCACATTCTAGTAACCTCATCTTTACAGTCAGTGGTTATCGTACAGTTAGTAAGTGGTTATAATACAGTTTTAAAGTCACAGATCAGTTAGTAACAGTTATGGTATTATACATATAACATAAAACAGCAATTGTTAGTAATTTTTACACAATGTCAGTGGTTATGGTATATGTCAGTAGTTATGGTACTGTGCGCTATTTTACAGGTTTCTATGTAGACTCCCTCATGTGCAGTTAAGATTTTATTGTAGGTTCTATTTCACCCACCACTAGTAGCCTTTACACTGCATTGAGACTTTGCTGTAACTTTCAAGGCTACTTATTGCTAGGACTTTCAGCATCAGTTCAAATTTTGGCTCTTTTGGGAGGGATTTTATGTTACCTACTTAAAATAAGCTACATATAGATACAGTTGCTGTTTTCATTGCACATAATCTGAACCATTTTTTTGTTCTGTATATTGTTGCAATTAAGCTCACACATTAGTGTGGTTACTGCTCATTGTAGCAAGGGCTCTCTATCTAGCCGTTACCCATGAGAGGGATTATCTGTTTCTACACTGTTTAAACTCTTTATAGAGATCCCTTTTTTCCTGCTACTAGTTTATCTACATCTTGTGCATATACAGCTATTTTCTTTTTCCTCTATTGATTATACTACAATTTCTGAGGGCTATATACTTAAGAGAGTTATTTACAATTATCTATACATCTCTCTATCTCCACGTGGATTCCCTGAATCGATAGTATTCTCCAATCACTATTATACTGCCTCCAGTCCGAATCCTCTCCTGTGTGTTTTAGTGTTGTTTTTTGTAAGTTTCCTTTCTTTTGGGGATTTTTTTACCCTATAATAAAGACTTTTATTTTAGCAATTTTCTAGTGCAGACCCATAGATCTCTCCATTCGGTCGCTCCCATAGCCTTGTGCATTTGGGATCTACCGTTCTTTTTCTTTTGCTATTTTACAGTTATACACACAATTTACACTCCCACTAGACAGCAGAGCTCTAACTTTCTAGTAGGACATACAAATTAACCAATTCACCAACTACAATATATTTAACAACATTTACAATAATCCCAACTATTCTAACTGGCCAGCACCTCGAGAGCTTTCGATATATTTATACACCAGAGATTCGATAAGTTCTTGGCTGCTCAGACACCACGTATAGCGAACTAGAGGGCAGAATTTACACAGTACCCAGCTAGTCTATGAAACCATCAATAATCTAGTGGCTGGATTTACAACAGAGCACACTTAGTTAAAATAGGGTGAAATCTAGCAAACTATAATATACAACAGAGAATGCTAAAATTCCGCCGATCTGCCCGACCTAACAACCAAAATTTACACCTAGCATGTTAGTCAAGACAGGACATCGGTGTCCGACATGAGCTATTTACACCAGAACTCAGTCTGACCCAAACCACCTATATTAGACGGGCTGACTACAGAGCGTCTAATGTCCAGATAAGCAGTGCGCCGTTGCTTCTTCCATCCCTTAGGACAGGGCAGATTCCAATAACCGGTTCCAAATATAAAACCCCTTGTGGGTCTACCGCTCTAACTGTATCAATCTTACCTGTTAGTTTCTGGACCTGGGTTCACTCATAGACGGAACAATCCGGGACTCACTGCGCAGAAGCCGATGATCTCCTGGACAAAAGGCCAGTGGCGCCGAGACGAAAGGAGGTCCACGCAGTAGAAGTCCAGGATTGTAGCGTAGAAAGTTTGGTAAAAGTTTACCGTTTCAAATCTCTGCGCCAGCTTCCGTGCGATGAGGTTCCCGGCTGCCAATGCACCAGAAATGTTGCAGTGTAAGCATGCAGAAGCCAAACACAAAGATATTGGACACAAGTCTTCAGGAAGTAAGAGGCATTTATTCACATTACCGATCGGGTCTCAGATGAACTCCTGTTCCAACATTCTGAGAGACCAACACATAGTGTACATTCCTTATATAGCACTATAACTCCTCCCATTAATAGCTACACCCACATATACCTTTAACCAATCAATGAGCAGAATATAGATTTGTACATCTAGTCAAACCACATGGCTCATCCAAGACAAAGGAAATAAGTGCAATTTCAGTTCCTGCATTCCTGCACATGCTCAGTACACTGATGACAGTATCCTAGCTACGTGTAGCTAACCAACTGACACAACATACACATATGCCACATGGAGATTTTGGCCTACTAAATTTTGACCATGTTGGAATCCCATCACAGTTAAAGGGACACTATGGTCACAAGTACAACTACAGCTTATTGAATTTGTTCTGGTTAGTAGAATCATTACCTTCAGGCTTTCTGCTGTAAACACTGTCTTTTCAGAGGAAATGCAGTCTTTACATTACAGCCTAGTGATAACTTCACTGGCCACTTCTTAGATGGCTGTTAGAGATTCTTCCTGGGTCATGGCTGCCTAAAATGCATCCAAACATTCAGTGTCTCCTCCCTTTGCATGCAGACACTGAACTTTCCTCATAGAGATTCATTGATTCAATTCATCTCTATGAGGAGATGCTGATTGGCCAGGGCTGTGTTTGAATCATGGTGGCTCTGCCCCTGATCTGACTCTTTGTCAGTCTCAGCCAATCCTATGGGGAAGCACTGTGATTGGATTAGGACATCACTTCTAATGATGTCAGCAGGCTGCTTGTTTTTCTGAGTCTAACAGCATGCAGAGTTACAACTTCAGGCTTGAATACAGTAAGATTTTGCTATATTTATGGTGGCATGAGGGGCCCAGGGGGGCTAGATGGTGGTGTTAACACTATAGGGTCATGAATTCATGTTTGTGTTCCCGACCCTATAGTGATCCTTTAAGGTAATGCTGACTTTGGTCTCTCTAACACTGTGGCGTGTTCCCTTTCTTCTACACTCACTACATACAGCTTTTCTCTGTCCCAGACTATATACCAGGAGCTTCTGCCTGCTAGTAAGAAGGTAAGGAGACAAGTGGACCGGCGAGTGCTAGGGGACAGTCCTTAGAAAGCGTTGAGCGAGCGCATCGTTAGATGCATTTATGCCAAGCTCAGGGTGCTGTCTGCATAGTATGCCCTTAGTTGGCCAGCTGCATGATTGGCAGGCAGTCTGACATGCATTCATGCCAGGCTGGCCTTCTAATTCTTTGGGCAGACATGTCCTCTTTTTGGGCATGTTCGCCCCTTTTAGCAAGTTACGTGGCACACCCTTTTACCGTGCCCATTGACTTCCTGCTTGACTGGACACTGCTGTTAGGGGTTATGGGTTTACTTGAAAGATGAAAACATAAATTAGAGGGAGATTAGCATAGGGCATGTGTTTTCTTATAGCTGCTGTTTTCTTTCTCTCCAGCACCATCTCCATCAGATAAATGATGCTTGGGAGTGTTTTTGGTCGATATGATTCTTTAATTAGGCCCGTCATAATTGTCAGCACCAGGCCCACTGGGCTGTTAATCTGGCCCTGATTGTGACACCAGTGAGTGAGTGGTGGCACTGGGCAGGCCCTGAAACGCACACTTGTGAAGGAAACTGACTGTTATTATATTACAGTAAAAAAAGTGTTTTTTTTTTTTAAATGCAAGCTATTGGGACACCAGTGAGTGAGTGGTGGCACTGGGCAGGCCCTGAAACGCACACTCGTGAAGGAAACTGACTGCTATTATATTACAGTCCAAAAGGTGTTTTTTTTTTTTTTTAAATGCAAGCTATTATGACACCAGTGAGTGAGAGGTGGCACTGGGCAGGCCCTGGAACGCACACTAGTGAAGGAAAATGACTGCTATTATATTATAGTCAAAAAGGTTTTGTTTTTTTAAATGCAAGCTATTGTGACACCAGTGAGTGAGTGGTGGCACTGGGCAAGTGGGCACAGTATATGATGTGAGCCTGACACACAGGCTGGCAGGCAGGCAGTAGTGATGTACCGAACGGTTCGCTGGCGAACGGTTCCTGGCGAACATAGCATGTTCGCGTTCGCCACGGCGGGCGAACATATGCGCGGTTCGACCCGCCCCCTATTCGTCATCATTGAGTAAACTTTGACCCTGTACCTCACAGTCAGCAGACACATTCCAGCCAATTAGCAGCACAGCCTCCCTAGCAGACCCTCCCACCTACTGGACAGCATCCATTTTAGATTCATTCTCAAGCTGCATGCTTAGTAAGAGGAGGGAAAGTGTAGCTGCTGTTCATAAGATAGGGAAAAGCATAGCTAGGTTAGGGATAAGGGTATGCTTTTTTTTATTTTTTTTTTCTATGTAATGTAAATGCACTTAGTTGTCTGCCACTGCTGCCAGCTTCTGTGTCAGGCTCACAGTGCCCATTTCCCCAGTCAGTGCCACCAATTACATCTGGTGTCACAATAGCTTGGATTTAAAAACAAAAAACTTTTTTCACTGTTATAGATTGAATAGCAGTCAGTTGTCTGCCACTGCTGCCAGCTCTGTGTCAGGCTCACAGTGCATACTGTGCCCATTTCCCCAGTCAGTGCCACCAATTACATCTGGTGTCACAATAGCTTGGATTTAAAAACAAAAAAC